TTTTTTTACTTTATTTTTTATTTTCTGCCCCTTTATCTTAAAGTCTAAAACTAATAATCGATGTTGGGTACATAAATTTTCACTTGGAATAACTTTACAATCTTTGCAATCTAAACGATTTAATTTTCTAATAAGAAAATAGTCAATCTGAGTTGTATTATATCCATTTTTATAAGTGATAAGATTCTTATTCCTTTTCTTAAATAAGGTATTAGCAATTGAAAAATCATAAGCTAAACAAAAATCTAATATGGTCTTTCCACCTTCATTTGTCGTTCCAAATCCATAGCCATAATGAATTCTTTTAAAATCATCTACATCTTTACCAACATGTCCCTTTAAATCTTCTCCAATAAAAACTCTTTCTTCAAGAGGTATCTTTTGTATTAATTCTTCTAAGTCATTCCAAAAATTTAATTTAGAACTCATATCCAAACCTACTTGAGGAACGTAAGCACTTATAATATTAACAATGTTATCATCAACAACAATCTTTAAATCTATAATTCTATATCCAATCATATTAATTTTTATAACATTATCCTTCAAACTCTTATCTATAATAACACCTACACCATTTCTAGTACGACTCCTACCCGAATACTAAAGTTTAAATCCTAAAATATCAATTTCCTTAGCCTTCTCTCCAACTCATTTAGTTTCCTGAATGCACAACACGATCTCAGTGAATCAATTAAATTCCATAATTGAAAGTAATGAGGAAAATAAAGAGTGAGGGAAAGAGTTCACCGAAGGTAGCCGGCGACAGATGGAGTGGTTGATGTCCCACGATCATCCACGATCCGGTTGGGAGGTGTTCCTCAATTGACGGTGCCAACGTGAAGATGGTTCGTTCAATGTAGCTTTCCACGGAGTCATCGACGTCCAAATTGAAATCGAAGAATGGAGATCGGAGAATGTCGGTCCGGTCCAGAGAATCCTCTACGAACCCATGATCAACATTCGGGTCGGCCATGCATGATTGTCGCGAGTCCTATAATCCACCGGCTGACGGGTGATGCGTGGCCCTCTCCTAGGGTTTCTCCTCTCAAGAACTCACAAAGAGATCAAGAACAAGTAAGCTGAAATTTTTATTCATATTCATCATTAACTTAAAATACAAGAGAACTTGCTTATATATAGGCCTCATAAAAAGAAAAGAAACAATGGCTAAAATGTCCTTCGGACTACAACACCACATGACCATCCCTAGGGGTAAAATGGGAAAAACAGAAATATAAAATAAAATAGTACATAAAACACATAAAAAAACAAACTCCAGATCGTAGCTGCTGATCTCTGATGTCCTCATCACCTGCGGTCTTGATTAGGTGAAATGCAAATAGGCCAGTTAAGGAAAAAATTATCAACATTGAACAAGTTTAATTAAAACAATGAGTTGGTTGAATATTTGATGACAAACTAGTGGGTGAAATGAGCATGTTGCGTGTCATAGTGACGACCCAGCGCTGCATGATTGCTTTTCCTCCCGATGCTTAGTAATGATGTGGAGCAAGTGGACTATGCTCTGCATTGGAGCAGCGGCGAGTTCCAGAATCAAGTGCATGCATTTTCACTCATTTAAAAACATTGTTGCAGTCTTATGATATATAAAATGGTGAACACATGTCATCTGAAGCAAGAAAAGGTAGGTAGCGGAATTTTCCCTCATATTATATGATGAAAGACTTAAAATATCTTTTAGATTTATGGTCTTGAAGAATTTAGAGGAAGCTAGAAATAAATTGCACGAAAAAGGGTATAGAGGATGATTTTTCATGATTTTTTCTACAAAGAGTATGAAAAATTGGAAATCAACATACGTAAAGTATTTCTTCTGATTATGCCAATCTATTAATTTTTTATTAAAACCTGAAAAGCTGAAGCATGCCTAACATTTTATTGTGTTGCAGTGTAATAAATGATGGAACATTTATTAACAATGAATATAATGATGTGTATCTCGTGACAACATTGTCACCGATCCCTGAGGAGGCATTTATTCTCCAGGTGAGTAATTTTATGGCTTTTTACCCTTGATTCTTCTCCATTAGATAAGCAAGATTTTTGTTGATTCTGATAGTTCTGCATTTGATTGGCACTAGATGAATTGTGATCCTTCTTAACATTTGCTATTTTTTTGTTTTATATAGTGCATGTTTCTGGTAAAGCTCTATTTTGTAGATAGAATCTGACAACTTTGATTTTAAATACTCAACATGCCTAAGTAAGCTGCTGGTAATTTCTTCTTTAAATCTATTAGTGCTGCATAAGCTTATTATTTTAGATGGTGCTTTTTAAGTAATCATTTATTTAATATATTGGACGAACTATTCATCAAATGATGAAGAATGTTTCATGTATATTAAGAGGATATTATGGAGGATTAATAGTAATTTTTATAAACTTGAAATTTTGCTGGTTATGCTATTTGAATTTAACCATTGAGTAGTAAAAATATTATTGATAGCTAAGGTGAGCATGTAAAAAATGAAAATGTTAAGATGAATGTGGGATCAAACTAGTAAGGATAGATTAAAAAAAATCATATTATAGAGATAGTTGGAGTATCGTTTATTAAAGACAATTTAGTGGAAAATAGACATTGGTACTTTGGCCATGTACAATGAATGATAAAAAAAACAGGCCATTAGATTGGTGGATAGAATTAGGGTCAAAGAATTAGGAAGAAAGGGTAGACCAGGATTAACATGTATAGAGGTTTTTCAAATGATTTGTGAAGTCTATTTTCAACATCTAAGTAGCCCTCAACATGAATGAATGAAAATGACCATCCATAAAGTTGAATTCAAATAGTTGGGGTAAGAATAAAGAGAATGATGTCATGTTTGTTAAATATTTAATTCAACTTTGCAAACATTTTATTTAAGGATATTTTTATTAGTCTAATGATTTTTTTAAAATCGAGTTGTTTAGTTTTTATGCCTTTTGGGTGGCTAGAAGTATGAGATGAGAAATTTTTTTACACCATATTTGCGAGGAAAGTTCTTTTAGCAACGAGAAGGGAAAAATTGAGAAATTGACCAAGTCTTGCGACAATAATTTTAACAAAATTTTTAGTGACTTTTAGATTGATCATATTTAGTAAGTTATAAATTTGTTCAGCTACACACCATGGAAATATGTGAAAAGAGGATGGAATAAAAGGTTGAGTAAGATTACATCAATTTTCCATTAAAAGGACATTTATGTTGGAGAATTGATTTATTTCGTTGATTGTCGGCTTAACAAGATAGACCTTGTATTTTTAGATCTTATTGGATATATGAAGAGTAATATTTTTTCCTTTGAATTTGAAAGGAAATATTTGATTTAGTTTAGGTTTATGTTTTATTAAGGGTCATTTGAAGTCATCAAAGAAATCTGTGTATTTTATAAGTATCATGAAATCCAATTATCGACACTATAGGAAAATAGTGTATTTTTGGTAGAAAATATATCAAAATAGGCTATCTTTTACTTGTAGATCATATTTTGGCGGATAACTTCATTGATAATCATCTCGTGAAAAATGATTTCCAATGTCTAGAAATCCACAAATAAGAGCTTTCAACTATTTGAGAATTCCTTGTAGCTGAGGGGACAAAAACAAATTTTTGATTAATTAGATCGCTGGTAATTACTAACAATTTTATTGTCAAAATTCTACAATACTCTATCATAGATATGCTATCAACTAATCAACGACTTAGTTGGGGTTAATTTCCATGACTATTTTCTAGTTGGTCAATTTACAAGAGAAATTTCTTCTACTAACCTGCAGCGACATTTATTTTGAAATAACTCACCTACTGAGTCAATTTTTACATTAAACCATAAAGTTTTTGCCAATCTACACAATCATAAATAACAGTTTGTTTTAATATAAAAAAACTACATTTTCAGCATAAAGCAAAATCATATTATTGCAAATAATAAATAAGATTTACTTTGAACAAAAAATATGCAATGCAAATTGTTTATTTTTCCTTTCCTCTCATTCATTCTCATCTCTTTGGCTTTCTTCCTCATTTTCTAATAGTGCAGTGAGCTATTGATTGAATCTTTATTAAATTACAACATCCACATGAACTTGTATTTTTGCATTTATGCCGAGTTTGATGATCTTCCATCCTAGCATCAACCTAACTTCACACTATCTATTGCAGCTCACCCCCCCACATAACCAAGGTATGTGATATAGGAGGACTTTGTGTTAAAATCTATGGTCTTAGATCCCAACATATTAATCCTCCTATTTTTTTAATTCCTCTAGCAGCTTACAACCACAATTCTTAATTTAACTAAAAGCTATCAGTCTTATGCATTCATGTCACAAAATATAATTGCTAAATAATATTTTAAAAGATTAAATATTTAAAGTTCATAGTATAAAATATTAATTAAAGTTCTAAATTTGTTGTCCACCCATTATTGTTTGGTTTGCCTACGATGTACATGCATGTCAACCTTCACTATAGTAGACTCTTTACCTAGCTTTTATTTATGTACAAATACCAAATAATTTAATTTAAAATAGAAGAATAAACACACAAGCGTGCGAACACATAGGTGTGTGTGTGTAAGGTCTCTTGCTTATCTCTCTCATTTAAGGTCCCTATTCTATAATGTTTTATTTGTAGATCCCCCACTAACCTGAGCGAACATTCAAATATATATTCCAAATTCAATCATATAGGGACTTTTAATGGGTTGAATATCATGTCAATGAACGTTTCATCTTGCAAATAGGAGATATCTTACCCTTATTCCTATGCTTTCTAGCTTTTATCATCTATTTTGATATCATGCTTTTTTATATAGACAAATCTTTTATGGCTTTTAATTGGAAACCCCCTTTCTCTCTATTCATGTCATTTCAATAGCTTAACTCCTCCCAATAGGTAGTCTTAGAGAAGTCTTTTAAAGTGGATGTCTGAATTCAAAGTATAACTCGTAATAATCTATCATTCAGGGCATATGATGATTCACTTGTTGTCTAAAGTGTTAGATTATCTACTAAGATATCGCCTATTTCTATCCAAGATCCAAACATCACAAATTTTTTTTTTTTTGTCTAAAGTTTGGAGTAAATGAGGCTCTAAATGTGGGATCTCCTTAATGATTCTTTCAAGACATTGGCTTGCTAAATGACTTTGAATTTCAAATTTTTAGATTTGAAAATATGTATAAATATCTTTATAGACCAAACATTCTGATTAATACAATGCCTTAAAAATTGTAACCTTTCCATGGTATGTAAGATGCTAATACATTATTTCTTAAAGCGAATTCCACATCAGTTGTAGCTGCCTTGCCTATTAGAATTTGTTTCTTTTTAATGTATTTGTTTCGTTGAACCCAAGATTTTATATGCATACAACTATTTTTATCGGAATGTTGATACATAACTGATGGAATGCTTATAGTATCACCGATGTGTGAGAAAATGATCTTTTGCGTATTAGTATAAATGATTTCCCCTTGCGCTCAAATATAGTTCAAATCTTTGAATTTAGAGCCATTTGGCCTTCTACCCAATTCCAACAATGCTCTTCTCGATCCAAGAAAGGGGAATTGCTTGGTGTTGCATATTAGAATTCAATAAAATCGAATTCATATCATTATGCCCGATAAAAGAAACGAGCAACTCCAATAGAAAAATATTGTAGGGGAATGAATCCTTTCCTATGATATAGTTTGGAATTCTTAATGTATCTAATTGCAATAACATGTTTTTGAATACCCCAATTTAAGGCCAAAGTATTTATTGTTGCTGCTGTCATGACCCGGCCCAGATGCTCGATCTAACGAGGTGAGAACGAAAAGTCAGACAGTATTACAATTTCATCCCATTCAAAAAAAAAAAAAAACATTAACATAAACTTTTCATCAACTGAAGAGCCACTAATCACAAAGAAAACTATTATCAATCTAGAACCGACCTAAGCATTCTCATCAGTCATTTTACCTGACGTCATTTGCACGTCGTCTTCTATAGATGAATTCTTCCCTTTCAGCCATTTCTTCTTCTTTGGTGTAGTGTGGGGTGGTGATGATTGACGGTGGAGTGGAGGTGCTAGTAGTTCAACATAAGTTTTTTTGCATCAGCTAGAGAAAATGAATTTAATAGATTTTTTGATGTTCATTTCCTCCATCAGTTCACAACCCACTTCATGCATGCACAATCCTTTTGTTTGTTAGTTAATTAAAATAAAAAAAAATTAAAAGAAATGGGACTGCTAATGTTATAGAACTCTCTCTCACCCCAAACTAAAGACATAATGGCATGTACCTGCTTGACACCCATTTTGTTTGTCACAACCCACTTCATGCATGCACAATCCTTTTATCCCATTAACCCCCCCATCCTCCCCCTCTCTCCAAAATCTATTATAGTCCACTTTATGCATGCACAATTCCTTTACCTTCTTTGTCCATCTCTTTATTCATCACAACCCATTTTGTTGACATTAACTGCCTCTGTATGTCACAACCATCTCCTTCACCCTTATGGATATCATAATTCACTCCCTTTCATTCATTCCTTCATCACAACTCACCTCTTGCACACAAAATTACCTACTGTATACACACACATACACATCAAAACTATTTCGTGCGTCGTTGTGTTAGTTTTTTGCCATCTTTGTCGCACTTGCTTGAATTGACCTTGAAGCATTTATGGAGGTAAAAAATGGCCATCAAAAGTTGTCGTAACCCTTCAAATCTATAAAAAGTCAGACAAGTTGTGACAAGTCTAATAATTGTTGGTCGGATTGTTTATTTATCAATGAAATCCTCATCAAACTCAACATCCAAGAATCGCAAATAAACTTGCTCACTATTGTTTCTTTCAACATAGCAGATTTATGTTATGGTAATTGTCTCAACTTTCAAGCCTTAAATCAAGGCAATGAGTAACTTATGGAGGTTACTAAAAATACCTCCTTTTCTCCATTAATATCTTGTTTATATTATTGCAGGCACTAACATTATCTATAAGAATT